GGAAAGAGTAACAAGCTGACAACGCAGAATCAAAGCGAAGGTGTATTTACATTGTAATTTGCAAATTTACCATCTTGTAATATACTCTGCACAACTCGATTTTGTACAAATTGCCCTGCATAATCCGCTCATTGAAATACAAGGATGTAAAAGGAAAGGAAAAAAAAGCCGATTCTCGCTTTGAGACTCGTTTCTTACAGCAATACAGAGGACAGATAACAATCGACCCATGACCTCCTTCCTAAGCAGTAAAGTCTAAAAAAACCCCTCATTATTCTTGTCAGCTCATTTTACTTACAAAGATGCATCATGTTTTTGACATACAAAAAAAACCCTTTAAACATTATTTACACTCGCAAAAGATACCTCAGTTTGCCTTTCATGAGAATCCCAAAGTCCCTCTCAGAAATACGTACCAAAATGATCTGTTTTAGCTTCCTTTTTTGAACTTCGTATTTCGAGGGAAAACGGGGTTCTTATGCCAAAGCAGGAACGCTGCAATTTCTACAATCCCTGTCAAGACAGTCAAAGCCCTCAATTCTCACCACTGGTTTGTTTCCAAAACTTGATCGAACCAATCCTCCTTTCCTTGGAGATGATGAGGATGATGATAAGTCCATCTGCGGTGGAATAGGCGTGACAGGTGAAAAGGGGGAGAATTTCTCATTCCCAAATCTAGCATCTTGAATTAATGGGTTAGCTACTCTGCTCGGCGGCGACCCACAAAAAAAAGGGGGCGGCGAAGAGGATACTTGTGTGCAAAAAGATTGATTATCCATACCATAACAACCCTACAAAAAAACATAGGCACCGACAAGGTTAATGAATGGTCCAAAATATGCTGCAATGATTTTATTTTTTACCTTATTGTCGAAAAGTTGCCGTTGCTCATGGGACCGTCCAAGTTCAGATTTTTTTATCTCATAATTAGAAGAAAAAAAATTATACTACAAAATAAATTAAGTAAACAGAAAAGGAAAAAAGAAGTATTACCTTTGTGAGGATGATTTCCAAAAAATCAGTCCCTGCTATTGAATCACAAAGCTCTGATTGATGGCTGAAGATTCAAAAAATTTAATTTAGTTTCGAAATTTTTAACAAATTAAAAAACAATAGTAGGAGAAAAATTTAAGGAAACCAAAAGGAAAAATCACCTGAGCTGAAATCTGAGAGACCTCGCAGGGTGGTCGTTCAACTGACCAAGGCGTCTGGGTTTGGGACAAACCACCGGGTCTCTCCGCTCCGAGATTGGAATTGTGACGGGGTTCCGACTTTCTTCCCAGTTTGAGAAGGCATTTTGTTGGATCGCACAGTGATTCATCTTCACTTTTTTTTTTTTTGCCTTTTTACCCTCAGAACAAAAGTCCTGCACATAAAACCAGCATAAAAAAAATTAAGACTTTAAAGTTACATGAGCTAATTACAGATCTCGCAAGAAGAAAAAAAAGAATTCAAACTTAATCATAAAAAAAGACAATCAGCTGCCAGCTCCACGCGGTTGCCTGAAAAATCGTAAGAAATGAACTGAACAAGAAAACCCCATATTTACGAGCTAGAAACAGAAATATACCCCAAAAAAGAGTTTTTTGGGAAGACCAAATCTGAAATATTGGTGGTTTTATCAACTACTAGAACAAAACCCAAACGGGAAACAGCATGTTAGAACATAATTAAATAGAGAAATGGAAAACTCAGCTAGTTATCAAGAATATTACCCCCTTTGGCTGCTTAACTGTACAATTCCAGCTTAAGGAAGGAAAGACTGTCTCAACCGGGTAAAGTGGCGTAGCTTAGCTATATTATAAACAGAAATGGAAAGAACATGAGCAAGAGAAAACGTCTAAGAGAAAGAGAGAGGGTGGTTAATACTAGGCTACAGAGGAAAGAAAGAAGGGCCAAGACGGGGTGGCTCTGTCTGATTTATAGATTGGAAAGGATCAGTGTTTTTTTTTAAATAAAAAAAAAGACTAGAGGGTAGACACAAAAGAGTCAAAGCAAAAACAAATTTACAGGCAGAATAAGAAGTCGTTTGGGCATTGGGCAACAGTACAGGTAATAAATGAATTAAAATAAAAAGTAGGGGGGACATGTGAAAACGGGGCAGCAAGATCTACAAGCCTTTTCCCACCGAGCCAGGCTCCCTCTCTTCTTATGGTATTAATTGTGTGGTAACAAATTCACAATAACCCCCAAATTATCAACTCGCTTATTTCCATCCTCTCACTTAATACTCTTCTCAAATTGATTCTTAATTCCTCTTTCACTGTATGATTTTTTTTATTTGAAGTACAAAATATAAAAATTAATTTGAAATAAAAAATATTTATTTTAATTATTTTAAAAATGCATTTAAAATATAAAAACAAACAAGATCTTAAACCTGACTTACTCGGAATACGGGTGGCTAATGGCTGAAATGACAACATGTAGAGGACTAGATTGAAAATTGTTGAGACTCAGAATGAAAGAGTGAAACCCCATCACAGACTAGGTACTAAGTTGAGGTATTTCTTTTTCTGTATAAAGTTTTGTACTTCACGCAGGCGGTGCCTCCCTCCCGCGATAAATCTCTTCGATTTTAGCACCCTTCTTTTTTAAATAATATTATTTTGTAAAAATATCTCTCGAGAATTATCGCTATGGGAACGTAACCAAACCGTTCAAAACGATGGAAGCCGCAGCGGTTGCCTCTTCAGAAGTGGAGTCGCTATCAGATAAGAAACGTGGCAGGTTAATACCGGGTGTCGAGGGCGTGGTAGGCATGATTGCATGTCCACGCAATTCTTTTTCACCTATAATTTCCCTTTTCGTTTTTCGGATTTTATTAACATATTTACGCAAATGAAAACAGTAACAATACATTGTGCGGAAAAAATAACTAGAATTTCTATAAAAAAAATACCTAATTGTGCAGAATTTTTATAATAAAAAATACTCTGAATTGTATTCTCAATAATCAAAATTAAATATTACAACTCTTTTACATTATTAAATAATGCAAAAAAACTTCATAGATAAATTAATTCAAAAAATAAAAAGTCTTAAATTAAGTTAAATAGAATAAATTAATTAATTAGCAAAGTATGACTACAAATAACTGATCCGATCTCAAAAGCTCATAATTCTCTAGTGGCACCCCACTACAATAAATGGTGTTAAAAAATTACCAGCTCCGAGATGCAAGTCCAATCCATCCTTGCGAGTAAAAAAAACCCTGCACGGGTCCATCAAGTCCAATCCATACTTGTGAGTTTGAAAAAAAACCCGGCACTGGTCCCTAGTTCTTGTCTCGACAACACGGAGATCGTTGCAAAATCCTTGGGATGGCATAGCTCGAATGAATACAGACATCTCCTTGTCTGTCCAATCAGTAGGATCCGTCTCCCAGCTCATCTCTTTTGAATAAGTCTTTTCATCAAAATTCGACACAACATCAAATGTCAAGTGAAACGAAAATGGTAAGTTAATGTTAAAACACTAGCATTAAAATTGAAAAAAAAAGAGAAAAAAAACTCTGAAGGATACCGGCAGCGACCGAGCTAGAATTTTTTAAATAAAAGAGAAATTTTATCATTTAAAACCTCGTGTTTTCACTGTAATACCTTCACAAAAACAAACATTAATGGAATTTGTTTTTCCTTGCATGTTCAAATCAAGATCTAAAAAACACATTGAATAATACATGTTTCTCTAGCTTTCTTTTAATCCCAGTATAATTTATGAGATTTGACTGGGTTTTTACATGCCACCTAGTTAAGATTTGCAAATGAATTGTATACGAGTTATAAGTTTTTGTTATTTTATAATAAGCTATCCACTATTTGATATTTTTATTAAAACACAAGGACATAACAAATACAATTACACGTACAAGAACTTGTTGGAAACAACCCCAAGGAGGACGGGTCACCTGGCCGCTTTAGAGTAAAGATATATTTCGATATTAAAATACACAAGGTGCAAGTCACGTGACATTTTCTACTAGTTTGAATGAAAAATGGATGAAAGTGCATAATCAAGAAAGATACTTTATTTATGGATTAAATAGGCGCACTTACACACACACAATTAAGAATAGATTAGAAAAATATAAAATTGTATAACTACAGATTGAGCCATTTACCACAGCAGCAGCAGCAACATCAACAAATCTTTGCTTGCATATCCTTGCAATATACTAGTAACTTTTGAATTCGGAATTATGAAAATGTTTAATCGCATTCATATATATATATATATATATATATTTTGACTAGCTGACGAAAAGTTCCACGCCCTCGCTTGTTGAAATATCCAACACACATTTCTCTTGTCATTTTCCAGGTACCAAAATAACAGTTTTAATAATTGAGGATCCGGAATCGTAAGATTGTGAAAACGACTACCACACCTCCCTTTATCTTTCTGCTGGGATGCCACCATCCATCCATTCTCTCCTAAACTTATCCCACATTTGCTCATCAATTTTCATTTTCAGCACTGTTTTCTTAGCTGATATGCAAAGATGTGGATGATCTTGTGGTCTTGTGCTACCCTCTTTCCATATCCTGCTATCACTTTCTTATTCACTGGACGGGCACAGAAGCTTTTCGAAATAATATTCTATCTGATTTTAAAAGAGTAACAAATACTATATGCATCTGTGTTTTTAATCGTGGAAATTAACCTCAAAATAATTTTTTAATTGGGTTGAAAATATAGACTTAATTTCACCATTGAAAAACTTGCACGAGTTACTCTAGTTAGAAGAAAAATAAAAGTAAAAATAATCGAGTATAAACTAATTTAAATATTTATATTAATTTTAAAATTATTAAAAATTTATATAATTTTTAATTTTTAAATTTATAAAATTAATCAAGATATAAATAAAATAACTTATTATCTATCTAAATAAAAAGTAAGATAATTACGATTTGCAATATTTTTTTATAAAGTCACTAATAAAATCTATATAGATTTTGTTGATTTTTTCTCCTGCTCCTCGACCCCTACCTTTCTCCAGGTCTCATCAAATTTTGTGCTTGACTTGTAAACTATAATACTGGTAGCTAGCTAGCTGACTTTGCTCCACACATGTGATATTCAGCAATGATCGTCCGAAAACCAAGTACCTTGGTATCCTCGCTGTCATGAAATACGTTCAGAGCTTTAAAATTTAATAATTAGTGTATTAATTGTATTAATAATTAGTACAGGGATGAATCGTATATTATGTACGTTTAATTCATGTACCTTTTGAGGAGACGCGTCATCCCTTGAATAGTGTTTGGTGGTGGTCCTTAAGTCTAGACGACAATGTTCATGATCCATTGTCTGTTTAAAACAATAAATAATCCATCAACTTTTAGCACTCTTACTTTTAACGATGATTTGGAATTATAAATGACAGAGGAAATGCAATCTTTCCTCGCAACTCTATGCAAGTCGTCGATGTTCATGACTAATAAATAAAAAACTTTAAACCTTGAGCTGTGTTTGGTGTGGGATGAAAAATTTGAAGTGAATATGTTAAGGGAGGTAAAAATTTTAAGGACAAAGTACAGATCTGATTCAAGTTAAGATAAAAGATTTAAAAATAAATAAAATATATTTATCGATTATATTTTATAAAATAACAATTAACTCCATTTAATAAAAAATCCCAAGTACAAAATAAAAATTATTTAAAATTTTTATTTTCCAAACATATATAAAAAATAATAAAAAAATATTTCTTAAATATTTTAAATTTAGTTGTTGAAGTCTCCTGTAGCTCGAGCCCAACAAAATATCAAGGGTGTAAAAAGTACTTAAGAGTTTTAGTTGTGAGTATGTGTTTGTCAAAGTGAGAAAAAAAAAAAATTATAGGCGGGAGTGGTCCTATATAAATAAAATAAAATTATAAGAAAAATTAAGTTAACATATGCTTGTAAATCATATTATAGAATAATATCATTTTTAAAAAAAATTAGATAAAATAACATATTTTAATTATACTGCATTTTAGAAATGCGACAATATAAAATATCGTCGATTTGAAATCATGACGTCAATTATAATGAATAGCCGAAGATACTGCAACGGAGAAGAGTTTGGCTTTTGCAGCGGAGAAGACTCCACAAGCCAAAGATACTAATTGGGAAGGGGCTCAAAAAACAGCTCAATAAATTATAGAGAAGACATCTCAAGCGAAGGGCATTGTCCTTGAAGGTGCTGAGAAAGTTGCAGAGAAGGGAGCTCAGGCCGAAAACACTATAGTTTAAGAGCCTAAAAAATCGACCCAGTATGCCGCAGAGAAGGGAATACAAGCAAAGGACACTGTTGTTGAAGGGACTAAGAAAACCTACCCATTATCTTGCAGAGAACGGAGCACAGGTAAAGGAAACCCTAGTTGAACTGGCAAAGAAGTTTTTCATTATGTAGACATTTTATTAAATATTTCGATTGAAAACCATGATAAAATTATAATTGATGTAATGGTTTTAACTGTAATATTTAATTAAATATCGTGTTTTTGAACCGCAGAATCTTAAAAGGAGATCATTTTATCAAAACTTTTTACTTTTATATCATTTCATTATTTATTTGTAATTTATATACTAATTGCCCAATTTATTCTTCAATTTTAAAGTCCATTACCGGTTTGATCGAGTCAGAAATTACACATTATGCAATGATGCTTCCACATGATTCATTGAGAGGAAGGCAACGACAAGAAGAAAGGGTTATGAAACTACGGTTGATGCCGTTTTCCTGCTATCACCGGCCATTTTAACATCTGACCCCATTCAGCACGCCATGCCTCTTTATCATCATTCAGACTATCTGCTTGTAACCTAGTATAATTATAATAATTTAACTTGATAATCAAGAAAAAAGGAATGGCAAACAATTTTCTGTGTATGGAACGGAGTCTTTTAAAAGTTTTAATCAATTTTCTAGTTTAGCAAACGGGTTTTTTTATTCAAAATATGTTTTAAAATACAATTGAAATTATATTTTTTATTATTTTTTTAAATATTTTCACATCATATTCTCATCTTAAAAATATTTTTTTAAAAAATAAAAAATATCATTTTTAATATATTTTTAAATAAAAAATATTTTAAATCATCACTACAATTCCAAATATATCCCCAATGGTTAATCATAACTTTAAAAGTTATTTAATTTTCATTACTTAAATTTACTTTTTATATTAAATTATGGTAAACATAGGTTTAAAAAACTATATAATTTATATTTTTTTAAATCTATTTTTTTAAATTATAACAGTAAAAATTACCACAATATCTGATATCTAATACACAATACCTTGTATTGTGAGTGTAATAGCTTATGTCTTCGAGTACTTTATAAAAGTGCATATTACATAAATTGTTTTTTTTTTTTTTTTCCCATAGGGGAAGCTGCCAAATTTTTAACCAAATTACAGAAAGGCATTAGATAAATGAATAAAAGATATGAATGCAAGAAATTACAACCATAGAGCCCAAAGACACCTAAACAACAGGAAAATCTACTTCCCAACCTGCTAATTTACACCTCTTAAAGATATAAAATTTCAAGCACAAATGATTTAAGCCAAGGGCGGCTCAGACTCAATGGCTGCAGCTCGTTTCTTAGCAAAGTATTCCTCAGCACGGGCAAGGTTCTTAGCAACTGATGGTTTCACCCACTTCTTTCGGCCAGGTAATACAGTAAGAGAGCATCCAGCAGCCTCAAGCTTCTCCTTGGCTGCTGCTGAAAAGGCACGAGCTTTAATGTTCAGCTTGACACTTAGCTCTCCATCACCCAGAACCTAAATCCAAAAGAAAATGAGCATATCTCAAAGCTAACTAGTAGAAAACAGCATTATGATTTGTGGCTCTCACATGCAATTGACCTAAACTGTCTACACTTCTTTCTAAGAATTTAATTGTTTAGTCTCTTCATACTATGGCGAGCAGCGGGTTAGAGATGTCAATCACTACAGCCTATGATTTCTGTACACCATCAATACTCACAGCATAGGATTTTCAGTCTTTAAGATGCAGAAAGCAATGATAATGAAATCACTTAAGCTTGAGTTTCTAAAGTTTCTGAATCAAAATTCGCATGACATACTAAAGAGTAACTATTAGCTCACAGAAAATAACGGCCTCCATTTTTGCTTGGATAAAACAACCAATATACTAAGGTGAAACAGGTCCATTCACCAAGAACCTTAACCACAATTTTTATTTTTCTACCCCTATAAGGGGTAAAACACGTCCCCAAACGGAGGAATCAGAACCCGATGCAAATAGCACGCAAATGTCTTTTCCAGCTATGCCGTCAAAATAACAGCCTCCTATTTTGCTTGGATAAAACAACCAATATACTAAGGTGAAACAGGTCCCTTCACCAAGGACCTTAACCACAATTTTTATTTTTCTACCCCCTATAAGAGGTAAAACACGTTCCCAAACGGAGGAATCAGAACCTGATGCAAATAGCACGCACGCAAATGTCTTTTCCAACTATGCTGTCACTTTACCCGGAAAAAAAAATGTAAGGAATGACAGACACTCTGAAAGTCAGAGGGGAGATTCGCAAGATATGGTCATATGCTGAACAATTTGGAGCTTACAAACAATATAAAAAAGACAGGCAAATCCTTCCAGCAAAAGAAATCATAGAAGGCAAGTATGGCATCATTTCTAGTAACCTTATAAAAGATATTTCAGAATCTCACCAGATGAATAGTAGGCCCAGCTACATAAAGCTTGACCCAGGCATCTGTTCACTTTGATAATCATCCCACATTGATTGCTTACCTAGTTAGGAACTCAATTTATTGATCCACATATACCTATTTGTGACTTAGACACACTCATGGATAGCATACAAAATCAGACAAAAGTGTTAATGGTCTTATGGAAAGGGCAAACAGAATAGATATTTCAAACAAATAGCCATATTAAAGTATGGTGGGAGGGTTTGAGGATCTCAGGTCTTTCTGTGTTACAGGTGTCACCTAAATCAAGAAAATATGTAAATATTTCAAAGTTATGTAAGCTTATAAATCATAGATAGAACTGTCGCACACCTTCAAAGGGAGTCTCCTTTCTCTTCCTGATGGGTTGATCAAGCCTTTCTCCTTCAAAGTCTCTAGTGATACCTCCTCTCCCTCTTGGAATCCTGCTGATGCTATGTCTTTCAAATTCACAGGGACATATTTTGGCAAACCCGCATGCATACCTTTGAAAGCAACAGAAGCATACCAATGAGTTTATGAATATGAAGACACACACATCATTGAAACATGCAAGTCTTACTGTGTGGAGAAAGGAGAGTAAAAATAGCACTATTGATATTCACGATGTGATAGCATGGTTTAGTTAATAGGCAATAGAGAAGCAGGATGGACCCTCTATACTAGATTCTTCACCATTTCAACAATCAAAATAAGTGTTTACGAGTGTTTCATAAAACTCCAAACAATATGGCAGTGGGATGTCCATTTAGTTTACCCACCACAGATTGATCTCTCAGCATGCCAAAGCCAAGAATTTTTAAACTCATACTCAACTGACATTCATGTTGCTGTAATCTTTTTGTTTATGCCTATGATAGCAAGAATGGATGTCACCAGCAAATTCCATCAATAAATAAACAAGGTTAATGACTCCATATGGGCCATTATATTGTCAACATGCAAAGGCCTTCAGATTTGAGCATTGCTCATTTTAAACTTAGAGAAATGAAATGCTGGCTCAGTTTTTCAGAACAAATTCATTGTGCATCGGCACCTTCTAGAGACTTCACAGTTCAAATTATCACCAAGAATTCAAAACAGAAATATTGAAATTTGATTCTGCAACCCAATCACTGTGAAGGCTAGAGAAAAGGTGTCTGGTGCCTATATCACATGAAGCTGCAAATGCATTGTTAAACACAGTAGAGACCCTGCTATTCGTGTGTCAAAACCAATGAAGATCACCAATATGAAGCAAGAAAGAATTATTCTACAAACATGCTCGCCTTTTGCCCCACTAACGTATTCTCTTTAGAAAGCCCTTATCACTGGAATTTAAATACAAAGCAATACCCTAAAATTTTAGCCATCCTCACATGAGTTTCTACAAAATTAATTGACAAGATTCTCTAAAATTTCACACGCAATTAATTCGAATAATAATAATAATAAAAGAAAGAGTACCTCCAGCAATTCCACGCAATTTAGGGATACGGCGGTAAAGAGGCATTTGTCCTCCCTCGAACCCTTTTCGAACACCAGGACCAGACCGAGATTTCTGACCTCTCATACCAAACCCACAACTGTTCCCTTGTCCTGCAGAGATACCTCTTCCCTTTCTCTTCCCTTTCTTTCTAGACCCTGGTTGTGGGCCTAGATTGTCCAGCCTGAGCCTCGCTCCTGAAGATGTAGTAACCACAGAAGGTGCTGCTACTTGATTGACCACCACCGATGGTCTTTTGTTCTTAGAATGGAGTGTAAGAAAAGTGAAGTTGCATGTCTTTGGCTTCAATCTCGTCAAGTTTCCCTGTCATTAAAAAAAAAAAAAAAAACTAAAACAATGGGGTTTTTATGTACCATGAAAGGAGAGTTTTGACTGATTTAAGTACCTTGAATGGAGAAGAAGGGCAAGGAAGAGACGCTGCTGCCATTGCCATTGCCATTGCCATGTACTGAGTAGATATGAGCGAGTGTGAGAGAGCGTTTTCAGTTTTCACAGATAGGGATACTGGATAGGCTTCCTTCTCTGTTCCATCCTAAACGACATGGTTTTCAGTTTTCACAGATATGGATACTGGATAGGCTTCCTTCTCTATTCCATCCTAAACGACATGGGTTCATTCCCACGTGAAGCCTTTATCTTGTGTCAAAGAGAGTCCAATGACAATAAATGGGCCTGACCTAGAAACCTCGAAAGAGTTGCAGTTTCGAACTTCACTAAAACCCAAACAAAACTGGCCATGATTATTTCATGTTGATTTTTAATGGGCCTAACTTCGGCCTTTTAGATAAGGCCGTCCATCATCTACAAAATCAGCAAGCCATGATAGCAAATTTCAACCAGCTTTCCAATTGCGTAATATTTTTTTTTTGTTTTGGTATTAGTGATTTTGTTAAAATATTTTTTATTTTGAAATATATTAAAATAATATATATAAAAGTTTTATATTTATTTTTAATATCAACATATTAAGAAGATACAAAAATATAAAAAATATTAATTTTAAATATAATTTTATTTTTTAAATTTTAGCAAACCTCTAAGCCGTGCCGTCTCAAACAGGGCTTCACCTCGGAGGAGATGCTAAATACAGCAATTTCTCCACATTATCATTCACTTATCCTTTTCAACTTTGGAGGATTATCCAGTTGGTGTGTGGATGTATTACCCATGTTATAATGTGAAAAAATCAATCCAGAAAAAAATAAAATAAAAATTCTGTGTGTAAAACTGATTTAAAAATATTTTTTATTTTTAAAATTTGAAATAACAAGGATATTTGACTATTTGTTCTCCATATGACCAACCACATTGACGAAAGTACAAAAACTTTATCTCAAACATAAAAGTGCAGGATCCCTTGGATGTGAAACTCGGTGGACATATGATCATCCTATTTTGAGGCCATTTTCACCGCACACACTTCTTTTAAAAAGGAAAAAAGAAAAAAGAAAAAGAATAGGATACTTTATATATGACAGGTTTAAGGAAGACTTTGAATGACAATCTCGATCAATTATAAGTTGGTCAGTTAGTCCCTTGACAGGAGGAGGGAGAGAACCCCCAGGAAGGCTACCGGATCCAAAAGCATAAGGACATGTATATGTACTAAGCTTTGAGAAAAATCTTCTTTAGAATCTTTGAATAGAAACAAGAATACTCGAAATCACTAGACAGTTTTTCACTCGGAAAGAAAAGCAATCAGCTTGCCCCATGAACAAAATTCTTATTTCGATAGGCGCAGTACTGCCACTCGAGAGCCGCTACAGTCTTGTGATGCATATAAAATATCCTTGCATTCCGGATCCAAACAGTCATGCCAGCCTAAAGGTTCACCGTAGCTGCCACGGGAGAGTAATTCAGCTTCAGACCTGTACGTAACAGGTAAGACAGTGGTGCCCATGTCTTTCCTCCTAGCATTTCACATGGAGAAGGATGCACAGTGTCTGGAAGAGGAAGCCAGCTGTAGTTTCCCTGAGGACACATAAAGCACATAATGCAGTTCTTTTTTTGGTAAAAACATAAAGCACACATAATGCTTTTTTTTTTGTCCTCGGAACGAACATAATGCACATAAGTGGTAATCTTATTCAAGAAAATAAAATCTCGTGAGGTTGGTCTATTAGTTTTGGTTTTGACGGAGATAGAAGGATGTTTTGTATCAAAGGGAAGAATGATTATGAAGGATTCTATAGCTTTGAAAGAGTTCAAACAAGAAAGACTTGATTGCTTCCATAAACAAAGAGTGAAGATTGTTTTTTTCTTTCACAAATTTATACGAACTACTTGTATGTTTATTGAATCTCCTTAATTTAACCCCTTGTTAAGAAGATGAGGTTTTTGAGTCGAAGGAAAACACGCTAATGATTTAATTAGAGCCAAATATTTGGCGGTTTTAATAACCTTATATGGCTACAAAAATTTATCCCGGTAAGAAATATGACTTCTAGAATTTCTTAGTGAGATTTTAGCCCTGTATAAAAAGATATATTCAGAGCCCCTCAAACATCATTTCTATATTGATCTCCAATCAAATCAAAAGAAGAAGAAGAAGTTATATATAAAAAAAAGAGTGACGCAATGTCATGCATTCTAGATTTACATTTACAAATTAATTGTTTGATCTAAGAAATAAATAATTTGGGTAATTCATGTCTTTTCAAATTTAATCATCACTACTTATTATCCACCTTTTGATTCCAATTTTTTTATTTATAAAAGTACATAACTGTTTTTAATCTAAAAATAAAACATATGTTTCTTGTTATAAAAATAAAATAAATTGAAATATCTCTAATACAATTGTTAAAAATAAAACACACAAATGTCTAGATAAATCTCTAACTCTTAATTGATTAATCAGTTTTATTAACACATTTTTATTATCAGCATACTTAAATTCTGAATATATTACACACACACCACACATATATATAAAGAGAGAGATTATACCTCTAATTATCTAATTAAACAAGAATTTTAGTAAATTATGGTTTAATTATGAGTTTTTTTTATAAATTTTACACTTCTCTTAATAATCTTTTTTTAATAATTTTTTTGTGGGTTTTTACTGTAGTTTGTATTATAATCTGATTGGATCAATTATATTTCGTTTAATTTAATTAGAAAAAAAAAAGAATTCTAGTAAACTAGTTTAACAAAAATTCTTTTTGATGAAGATTCCAAATTAGACTATAATTTTTATCTAGCAATAACTCAGTTTAAATATGACAAAGTTTTCTTGAATGCAAACATCAAGTGATCTCATGACTTCTCGAACAATTCTAATATGAGAGACTTAATGAATATATTAACTATTTGATCTTCACTTTCACAATTGATAATCTCAATGGTTCAAAAACTGAACTCCAAAAGCGAATTAATTTTGATGAATGGATGAAGAGCTTCTTGGATTACAAAATAGGATAGTCTTCTTCCATTATATTATAATTAAATATATAAAGAGCAATGCACAAACGTGGAGTTAATAAACAAAGCTTGAGTAGCCTCTTTAATAAATCATCAACTAATTTCGCCGGAATCAATTATTTTCCTTGCCTAACTAGCTATTTTTTCTTGAAAAAGAACCAAAATAGAATGTTCATCATGGTGGGAAGTAAATTTGGAAGGTTCGACAAACTCTCTGATGAAATGTTCATGGATTTTACTGCTGGACACGTATGGAGGAATGGACCACTTGTAATGAGCATCCAAACACTAACAAGAAATTTTTCAGATGTTTGAGCAAACATAAGCTTCACCCGCTTGCTTGGCCTCGTCATATAAATGGAAATTTATTTACAGGCAAATATGTTATACTAACATGACTAATACCATCAAGTCAAAGACCAAAAGATAGAGTGGTCCATATGAACCAAATGCTAATTGTTTGCCTCTTCAAAAACCAATGGGATATTGCTATGTGGCTTTTAGCAATTAATTTCAAGAGGAACACAAAGTGAAAATTTTTTTTTCTCCAGAAAACACTAAAAAAAGTAATTAACTTAATACCTTTTCAAGATAAAAATATTTTTAAAAAGCAAAACCAGAAACTGTCGCTGCTGAACTTGGCTCAGCTAGTTTCAATCCCCGCAGTTATGTAAAATCTAATTTGGATAGTAAGAACTAAACGTTGAGTATTAATATGGTGAGAGAAGAAGGAAACCAAACACTGGCTATCTTTTTCTTATTTCAGATTGGTTGAAAAGGACTGTAAATAAGCAACTAGAGCTTCCAAATAATAAAACAATACTTTTTTTGTGGGGTTGAGACTATATCCCAACTTAGATCTCAAAACCCTAGTAATTAGATATTGATAGCAACGCTTCCATGATCCATGGTAAGCCAGGGTACAATGATGCCCAAGAATCCTTAAGCTTCAATGGGGACCATAAACTTGGAGCATGCCCTTCTCACAACATAATGTGCAGGATCAGCAGCATGTTTGTAGGGCAAGGCTTGTCTTGATTGCCATCAAGGTATAAATGTCATCTTCCATTGCTATAATTAGTGATGGAAGATATGCAAAGGACACTGGTGTTTGATTGCCATCTCTTATTTTAAATCTTTTTAGCATCTTCTAAATGCTTTTCTCATATATAAATCATTGAGCTTGATCCTAGTAGTTCTAGGGCAATAGACCTAGCCTTCTTCAAGTGAGGCAATACTAAGGCAACGTCCCTCTCATTGCTCCCTCCCTCCCTATTTATCAAACCAAATGACACTATACCACGTCTACCTTGGCCTCTCTCCACACACCCCCTCCCCTTTTTAAAGTCACGAGACCACACTGTCCCTTGTTCTTCTTTATATTAGAGAGAAGGAGATGAGTCCAGGGGTATGGCAGAGAAACTGATAGAGAACTTTCAAAGCTCCTTTTCTCCACCTTCACTCAACTAGCCTCTATATTGCAGTCTCAAACTGAAGTCATAATTTTCTAAAGCTTTAGTTATATTACCATCTAAAAGAGTGTTAACCTCACATTTTTTTTTTCCTGTCTCTCTGTCGGTACCATGTAGGTCACCCCCACAAACCCCTTGCACTCGCACCCTTTCTCTTATCTTCTCCTTTACCATCACAGTGTTCTCTTACTCTTCAACGCTCCTTTTTAACTCCTTTTTTTGTCCTTTTCTTTTTCTTTTTAATCATTTTTTCAGGAGACCCGAGAACAACCCATTAGACCTCAACAACTTGCCTGAGGATTACTCTAGAGATGGTAAACAAGTCCTTGATGAAGGCTCTTCTTCTGGTAAGCACATCTATAAGCTTTTTTTAACAGTACAAAAATTCGATACATAACCTCTCTCTCACCCCCTCTCCTTTTCATTTTAGAGAAAAGACCAAACAAAAGAAAAAAAATCCAAGAAAATGGAAGAAAACCTCCATGATTTCGATGAAAGAAAATGTATAAGGGCAAAACTTTTTCTTCCATCACTTTCCCCATCAATTTTTTTTTCATTTCTTAATATTTGGCATCATGAAGCCTCAAATGAAACATTAAAGAAGAAGAGATGGAACAAGAGTTGAAAAGGAGGAGGTTTAGGGAA